CATCTCAAGTTAATGCATTTAGCACTTTTCTATGTATGGGAAGATGCAAGAGTCCTGCTTTTTTTTTCAGTCAACAATATTAAATATAATGAGAGTACCGGAGCTGGAAGGACTTTCAGAGATAAATCAATCTAACCCCCTCATTTTATAGGTGGAAAAAACTGAGGCAGAGATTACATAAACATAGTGGATAGAACATGGGTTTTGGACTTCGATTACCTGCGTTTAAAATCCCAAGTTTATCACATAATAGCTGTGCGACCTTGGATAAGTTTCCTAAAAGTTCTGTGCTTCAGTAAAATGAGGATGATGAGAATAATAGTACTCACCTTGCAGAGTGATTGTGATGGTGAAACGAGTTAATATATGTCAAGGGCTTGGAACAATGTCTACCACATACTGTGTGCTCTATAAATGTAGCTAATATCAGTTCTAACTTTCTATAGGGCTTTGGGCAGGGGAAAAAAACCCTGGCACTGCCAATCTGCAGGCTTTTCCACTTCTTCTGCCTCCACCAGCCATATCATCAGGCCTGTCCTCTACCACCAGCAGCCCCCACTCATACTCCTTTTGGTACCAAAGAAGCTGAAGGCAAAGTAAGAATTTGTGTCCAACACATGAGTCAGAGTCAAAGCCTTGCTTCCTGCTCCCCATCTTACCTTGCCAGTGCCCATTGCCATCCTTTTGCCTTGAGGAGTAGGTGGTTTTGCGCACACAGGAGGGGGTGCTTTAGAGTGTGTCCTTGGGTGAACTCAGGAGAGCCCTTGTGCACATCTGCAGTCATATGCCAGGCTGTGTGAGCACATGACTGGGGAAAAGCATGGTGTCGCTTGTTGGACTATAACTGGGTGGCCAACCTTGACAAAGCTTCCTAGTTTACAAGGGAATTTTCTATCTGTGATTTGCTTTGTCTCCCATAGAAGCAGTTAGGTGAGACAGGGTTATTACCACATGCCTTTATGTGCATGTGTGTGGCATGTCCCGCTGGTATTGCTGTTATATTCTACCAGAGACGAGCTGGGTTTGGATTTTGCCACAGAGCAGTAGGGAGACTACAGTCTACTACGCAGACCGTGTGTGGATCCAACTATGTCCTGACACTGTGTGTGACCTTGGGCACATCTCTTCCCCTCTTTGAGCCTCAGTTTCCTCATCGGTAGTTTGGAGGGAGGAAAAGGGATGAAGGAACAGATGACCTCTATGGACCTTGCCATCTCTGATATTGTGTGACTATCTACCTCTGTTATAAGGGGAAAGAACTGAGGGCCAGCAGGGAGTATTGTCCCTCTCAAAGTCACCTAGAGGTCATGGCTGAGATGGAGCTCCAGCTGGATTCTCTACCTGCCAGGCCAGTACCCTCCAGGACTTGATATGCCCACCTGATACAAAGAGAGTAACATGAAAGAGTATCCATGTTCCAGGCACTCGTTATGTGCATCACACCATGCTAGTTGCTGGAATGGGGCAAAAGGACACATCAGAGAAACGGTCCCGTGTGTACGCGTGTGAGTGTGAAGCTGGGGGGACTCGCATGCATATATGGTACTCTGCTGAGAAGTCATGGATACCTTCTCAACACTCATTGGTGTCCAGGGAAGATACATCAGACACGGACGGAACTATTTACACTGGGTTCATCTCACATTCAAACGCCTTGCCCCTTGGCTACCCCTAACCCCAGTGCAGCTCAAAGCAGTTCTGGGCCTTGGCCTGACCTCTCGCCACCTTCCCAGTATCACTGAGGTGTCATCCTTCAACTCCCAAACAGGTTGTTTCTGGTCCTGGAGTCAGACAGGGCCAGAGGAGAGGGCTGAAGGGGAGTTGTGGCAAAGGAGAAGACAAGACCTGAGACCTGAACCCTGGAATTGCCAAACATGGAATAACCTTGTTCTTTGCTTTGACACCCCCGGTGTACAGTTCTGAAATCTGTTTCCAACAAGTCATGTGTGTTGACCACCTACTCCACGCCAGGCACTTTAAAGACACAACCTCCCCGAATCCTCAGATCATCTCTGTGAGGCAGGCCCCGAATAGTGTCATTTTGCAGGCAAGGAAGCTGAGGCTCAGAAAGGACTTGCTCAAACGCACACAGCTAGTATGTGTGCTTGTGTGTATGGGGTGGGGGCTGGGATTCTAAGTTTCTCTGCTTCCTCCCTCCTCAAACCTCCTCAGTTGATGGACAGCTCCATGTGGTGCAGGATGCTGGGGGCTCGGTTTCCCTATTAGGACCACGAGAAGGTCGAATGAGACGTCTGAGATGGCCCTTTCAGCTATAGCAGGCTTGGCCACAGCCATGCCCCTCTCTGCAGGCAGCTCTTGCATTTGCCACAGCTCCCCTCCCGCACAGCCATGCAATTGCTCAGGAGGGGAGCCGGCTCAGAGAGGGAGGGTGGCTCAGAGCAGCCCATGCCCCTGAGGCCTCAAAGCAGCAGCGTTGGAAAAAGAGACACAAAACCCAAGGTGTGCGTTAGTCTGGCAGGCTGCCTCTTACCCCTGAGATCTAACCATGTGTTGATTCGCATCTGCCACAACACTGTGTGTGCACATGTGCCTTTCCACCGTGTGCATGCTTCTGTATGCCTCCATAATTGTGTGTGTGCCTGCAAGCTCGTGCATGGGAGGGTATGTATTTGTGTGCGTGCATGCCTACCTCTGTATGTGCATGTGGGCACGTATGTGAGTCTACATGCTTGTGGATATGTAATATCTGTGTGTGCATATGTGATTGTGTGTGTGTTTGTCTCTATGTGCATATGTGTGTGTGCATACGCTTGAATGGCGTGTCTATGCATATGTGTGTGTAGCTGAGAGTGTGCAGAAACGCATGTGTAGGCTCCATCTTTGTGGACATGCACATGAGTGAATGTGTGCATGTGTGCTAGTGTCCGGGACCTGGGATAAAGGGCCCTGACTTTCTCTTGGGGCTGTCCGGCCCCAACAGTTTCTAAGAGGCTGACATGGGTTGGGAGCATTTGCTGGGAGTCTGACAGATTGGAGTAATGAGTGCAAAGGGATTTAAATCCATGCCAAGCACCCAGAATGGTTCTCCAGAGAGTGGACAGTGGTGCCAGTCTGGCATCCAACCTCACGGGTACTTTCACTTCCCACTTGTCCTGTTCTTATCATTAGACCCATCCCCCATCATCCCCTCCCCACCCATCCCCACTGCCATCGCAGCCACCTTCCTGGCCTTTGCATCACTATTTGGGCCCCTCCACACCATTTCCATCCAAGGCTGCTGGAGTGCTATTCTTAAAACTGTCCACTTAATTATATCCTTACTTTACTGAAATCCCCTCATCCCCTAAAACAGCAGTCCCCAGACTTTGGAATTTCATGAACGAGGAAGATAATTTTTAAATAAATGAGGAGGGGAACAGTCAGGGTGTTGCAAACTTTTTTATTTTGCTGAGGACAGGTATTCTAAAAATCTCACACTCCTATTTCATAAGAGAAAGATCATTTGAACCCCACCCCTGTAAGAAGGTCATTATAATCTCTAAATAAGAATAGTCCTTTGAGTTGAATTAATTTAGCTTTCTGAAAACTGCACTGCATCAGCCCCATTCTTCTCCCGTTTTACCGCAGATGAGTGAAAAGCTCATTTGGGATCCTCACTAGGTGAGGACGATGAACACACAGATCAATTCCAAATTGTATGGGAGGCAGCCCCTGGTTCCCTCTCTCTGGCTCCTCTCCCCTCGAACCCGGCACTTAAGGCACATGATGAAACCAGCCCCTCCCCCAACCCAGAACTTGACTGCCTCCAGACTCTTGCTTATGAAGTTCCCTCTGCCAGGCATGCCTGGAATGCCCTTCCCCCCTTTTTGGACTGACAAACTTTTCTCTTCCTTCAAGCTCAGCCCAAATGTGACCTCCTGTGAAACCTTTCCAAGTCCCTCCAAGGATCCCAGCTTGACTTTCATCCTGTCTTCTATAGTCAGGCTAGTTGTTTAAAAGTCTCCCTACCGAGTTCAGCTGTGGGAAGCCATATACTGTCAAGAAGAGTATGGACTTACTTAGGAGTTCAGATCCCAACTCTGCCAATCATATCTGAATGACCTTGTAAATATTTCTTAATCATTCACAGTGTCCACTCCCCATCTATAAAAGCAGAAAAACAATGGCTTGTGGTGAAAACCACCACCACAGTTTATGGACTGAAAGTGCCTATGTCTGATGCATACCAGATACTAAATAAATATCAGCTCCCTTGTTTTCTAGAGCAGAAACCATGCCCTCCACATCCTCATGGGTGATGCTGTGCTCGTATATTTCCCGTGTCCAGGATACAGCAGGCACTCAGCAAACATTTATTGGCCCACTAACTGTCTACCAGAGTGTCTGGCATATGGTAGGTGCCTGATAAAGATTTGTCATTTTCTTACCTCCTTTCTGAGGACAGAAGCCATGACCCTTTTTTTGTGTGTGTAACTCCTATGGTGCCTAGACAGAAGCCATGTCCCTTTTGTTTTTTGTGTAACTCCTATGGTGCCTAGCACAGAGTAGGTACTTAATATATGTTGAAGGAAATTAGTAACAATAATCATAATAATAGTTACCATTACTCACATGGTATGGATGCCACATGTCAAGCATTACGCTAGGAACTTTACACATATTATCTCTTATATTTGAATACATTTAATATGCAAACAATAACAACAACCTCACCACCCTATAAGGTTGGTGTCTCTATTGTCTTTATTTTAAAGCTGAGGAAACAGAGGCTCAGAGAGGTTAAGATCCTTGCCTTTGTGACAAGGCCAGGGAAGCAACAGAGGTAGGTTTTAGAAGAAGAGCCAGCTAGCCGACTTATTTTCGTGGGAAAGCAGCAGAAGATCACAGAGCTGGTGACAAAGGCAAGACTTGAACCCAAGCCTTTCTAGCTCCAAGGTAGTCTCAGAAGCCCATCTGCCTTCCAGCCAGCACACAGTGGTCCCCAGCTGCCTCCTTCAAACCAGAACAGTGGGCTGGGCTGGGTCTGGGTAGCCTCTTACCTTCACTTTCCTGAAGCAAGCCCAAAACACGTCCAACAGAGGCATGGTGGGGTGAGGGGAGCTGGCAGGGCCCAGCAGAGCTCTGCTGGGCACAGGCCTCTCCCTCTCCGGGGACCAGGCTACCCGGGACCAGGGTCTCGGCAAGAGCCAGCCCTAGCCCTGCGCTCCATCAGCCAGCTCAGCTCGGAGAGGGAGGAGGCGGAGAGCAGCGGCCTGAGCTCAGCTCGCCTGCACTCCAGGCGCCTCCTGGAGGGCCCGAGGGAGGGAGGAAGAGAGACTGAGGAGGAGGGACCAGGAGGCGGGTCACTGATTCAAACTCGGCACCGTTAACCAGTTGGCTGGGACTGGACAGCAATGCCAGTTGAAATTCCCCGAACATTACAGTTCCGAAGCTTGGAGCGTCCAGCTCACTGTGGCTCACCCGCCGGTCCCGCCACCTGCACGCTGCCTCCTGCGAATGACACACCAGCCCTTCCTGGGGGCCTCTGGGTAGAAACCAGACTGCACAGGGGCATTGGAAAGAGTGCCAAGGAAAAGGACCCAGGGAGGAGAGCCCTCAACCTGGGCAGGACCCAGGCTGGTGTGGAGACAGTCACAGAAGGGGAAAGTCTGTGGCCTTAGGAAACCTTCTCTGATAGGAGGCTTTGGGCCCTGGGTCCCAGGGTCATTCTCCCACCCTGCTCTAACGTCATGAATCATGAGTCACTCTGGCACTTTGGGGAGACCCCTCCTTACTGGGCCTCAGTTTTCCCAGCTGTACAATGAGAGGCAGGCTCACAGGTTGCTAAGTGTCAAGTTTGTTGTATGGCGCCTGTTTGGAGTTAGGTACAGGGCAAGTCTGGAAGAAAGTCCCTTCTGGACAGTTACTGCTCCTCTCAGAACTAGTGTGCTGCCCCTGGGCATCCATGGGAAGCCAGGGAATGCCCCAAAAAGAATCCCAGCCCTCAAAGGTCATTTCCTCCATCCCCCTGCCTCAGGGCAACACAGCTCTTTTCCAGATCAGATAGCCTGGCTATATATCCTTTTCTGAACATCTTCTAAGGCGATGATGTCTTCCCTTCCTTATCTACTCCCATGCTCAGAACTCTCCACATTCAGTTTAGCCTGGAATCCGATCTTAAACCCTCTGGATGCACTGAAGTCAGCTCTTTCAGTGGAAACAGAGTTAGCATCAGGCACTTCTAGAAGCTTTCTGGGCAGGAAGCCATTAAGAAGCAGTGATCCCCTCTGCCCCCAAGCCTCAGCAGGCAAGGTGCCATGGCTGGTGGCCAGAAGGCTCTCAGGGACCCCATGGCAGAGGGCCGGGCTTGGGTCTCTTGGGGCACATGTCATCACAGTCCCAGAATAACTTACTCCCTCTGGCCTCGCTTCCCTTTCTAAGACTCTAGCTGGTTAGGCAAAGGGCCAAATCCTGGGGCCCTAGAAGATCTTAAGCCTGCTTTGAGCAAGGCTCTGCCTATGTTTGAGGACTTTCCTCATCTGTGGTTTGGTCCAAAGGTTTGTCTTGAGGGTCTGTAAGGATCCCTCCACCTCTGCTTACAACTTACTCTGTGGCCCTCTGTTTCCTCATTTGGACCCTGGGGAGGTTGTGATAACGAATCTCTCACCTTCTCTCTAGCCTCTGGGCCGTCTCAGATGTTTGTTCTTTTGGGCCCTGTCAGAATGATAGTCAGTCAGAGGCAAGGCAAGTGGGTCCTTCCCACCTACCTCCAACTGCACACACGCTTATGAGGGGAAGCACCCTGCCTGGGGCAGGCGAGTAACACAAGGACCAAGAGTGGAGCAGTGTTCCCTCCTTGGAAGCGTATCTCCTCTTCCCCCACAGCCAGATGTTTGAGGATGGAGAGCCATGGAGGCTGCATGGCAGGAACCCAGGCCTCCTAGAATGACCCCCTTCTTTAGATTCAGGCCCCTGGGGGGCGGTGCACCAGCTGTGCCTTTGGACATTCATTCAGGAGGCAATAATGCACAGCATACTGACCTGAGAGACCAGGAGACTTTGGTTGCAGTTCTGGGCCTCTCACGCCAGTTTAGCCTTGAGGATATTAGCATGCATTGGTTAAGCCCACGAACTGTGGAGGTGGACTGCCTGGATTCAAATCCAAGTTCTGTTACCTTCTAACTGGGTGACCTTGGGCTGCCTTAGTTTCCCCACCTGTAAAATGGGGGATAATAATAGTACCTATCTGGTTGGGAGGTTTAAATTAAATGAGTTAGAGCACTTAGTATAGTGCCTGGCATACAGTAAGTTCTCAAGAAATGTTATTCGGTATTATTGAAGAAGCTGAGGCTTTGGAACCAGACAGACTTAGATCTGAATGCTGGTTCTGCTACCTTCTAGCAGTGTGCTCTCAGGAAAGCCACCTCATTTCTGTTTCCTCTGTTTCCTCATCTGTAAATTGTGGGTCCCCCTTTTCCTCACCACAGAGGCCAGACACAAAAGACTGGGAATTCCTTATCCATTCCTCTCCCAGAGACAGAATACTACCATTTTAAATGAGGAGTTTTGGCAGATGAAAGGCAGCTAATCGTCTCTTTGCTACAAAATGCCCCTTGCCTTGGCAGGAATTTCCTCCTGCCCAAGGGAGGGGCCCAGAGATGGTTGGGAAATGGGATGGAGACTAGGGTTCTGTGTGTCACAGGACCATTAACAAGCAGCCAGAGACTGAGGCAGGCCTGAATATGATCTCCAGAAAAGCCATTAGATGCCCCTTGGAGAAGTGAAATTCCTGCTGTTAGAAAGTCTGGTCTCCCAGTCACCAGGGCCTCGGGTGGGAAATACAGACTTCCCAGCTCAGGAACGCAGTGTCCCTGCCCACTGCCACGGTGGCTCTGCCCATAAGTAGGTCAGCTCGGCACCTCCTAGCTCCTGTGGCCCCTACCCCAGCCAGCTTGATAGGCTGAGAGTCAGAGGCAGGGCAGGGGACACGAAATTCCCCAAGGACCAAGCTCTGCTACATTTCCTAGCCAGGCCCAGCAGAGCTCACCTTGGGCCAACCCACTCCACCTCTCTGGAGAGGCCTTCGGTTTCATTTCTAAGTGTGACGGCCGCTCAAGGCCACCACTGGCTTGGCAGGGCCTCACAGGAAGTAGTAGCGACCAAGGACTGAATCCCACGAGCATCTGATTATCAGCAGGGTTGTTGGTCATTATCGGCCCAGCACATGAGCGATTTCCTACATGAAGTAGTAGCTCCAAATGCTCTGACAAAAGGGCTGCTGTCTTGGCCCTCACAGGTCAGAGAGAAGCTGGCAGGGCTAAGCACAGGGTGGAAAATTGGCCAGCAAGGGAGGGGAGGGAAAGGGAGAAGGAGTCACAGATGAGGGTAAGGGGACTGAGAAACAGGGCAGGAGAAAGAAGAAAACAGGCTTGGAACAAGTTGTGGGCCAATGACACAGCGGAGACCTCCTAGGGCTCCAGGATGGCCCATAGACATGACTCAGGGAGACCCTGTGTTAGTGGCAGTGAATGCTTTAGAACTTCTTTGCCAGGCTTGGTGGGTGAATGAAATTCTTTGTCATGGGATAATGGCTTCAGCAAACCTGGATGCCCTGAGAGATGGCAGGACCTGGGCAGGCACTACAGGGTAAGCCTTGCTACACTTGCAGGAAAGCAAGCAGGACGGGCTCTCTGGGGAGCTGAGGCGACAACCAGGAGTGGGGACTCTCAGGGAGGCAGTGGAGGTCTTCAGTCTCATACAGTGTCTTGGGGGAGAGCATGGCAACTGAAAAGGAGTCCACGGGCAGGAAATGCGAAGTACTCTAGGGGACGACTGAAGACGTGGCAGCTGGAGTGGGGTGTCTGTCTGCAGTGGCAGGATTCCAGCAGGGGAAAAAGGGCCAGACTCTAGTCTGTGAGGGGACCAGTAAAGGCAAAGCAGGGCTCAGCTCTCAGGTCACCAAGGATGGAACCAGGGATCAAAGTGGGGACTTGGTCACTGTTACTAGTCAGAGCCCTGTGACTTGAACCAGGATGCAGGGCCAGGGCCAGGCCACAGCAAGGCTCTGATGTTGACTCCAGCAGGTGCGCCTGGGGCTGCCCAGTGCCTGGAGAAATGCCAGAGATGGGGCTCGGCCTACAGCTGGGATCAAAAGGTCTCAGCCTTGCAGGAAGGAGATCAGTAGTGTCCGGGTCCTGGGCAACATTAGATAGTAGACCCCACAGCACCAAGTCTAGCCCAGAAATGTCGGTCTCCTTGAGCTTGGCACCACTCAGCTTGTGCAGCTTGACCCAGAGTCTGCCACAGTGGCCAAAAGGTCTCCCACGAGTCCCAGGCTCAGGGAAAGCAAGAAGCTGTGGTCTTCTTGGTAATTTGGTGAACTCTGAGACCTCGGACAAGCCACCGCTGGGCTTCTGGGCCTTCATTTCCCCATCTACCATGCATCCTTAGGGCTGGAGGAAGAAAAATACATGCAAGGAGAAGAAACCAAAATAAGAGTAATAATAATGAGGAGGAGGAGGATGAAATAAAATAAATAACAATAGAACAATAAGAAAAAAGTATAATGACGAGTTCTAACAAAATAACCACAATCATAGCTAACAATGCATTAAGCACTTACTTTGTGCCAGACACCCCTCCAAATGCTTTTCATGGATTGCTTCCTTAACCCTCACAGAACTCCTGAGTGGTAGGTAGAAATGAGGAAACAGAGGCAGTTCAGTGACGTTTGCCTGAGGCCATATAGTTGGCAAGTGGTGGAGCCAGCTTTTTAATCCTGGCAGGTTGGCACCTGAACCTGCATAAGTAACTCTTATGCTCAGCGGTCTCCCACAAGGAGGCTCATGGGGAGAATAATAATAATAAAAAACAAACCCAGCTCCTCCCTCTAGCCCAGCAGCAGTTAGTAGGTGTGTCTCCACCAGTAGGCATGGCTTGGTTGTCATCCATGTTTATTTGTCAACAATAAACAAGTAAACATGTAATAAAAATTAAATAAAATGCCAGGTAGTGAGAGGGGCTATAAAAATACAACAGGGGAAGAAGATGAAAAATGATAGGGCTGGGAGGGCAGAGAGGCGGTTGTTTGCACTAGGGTGGTCAGGAAAGCAGGGGAGACGTGGGGATAATGGCCCCTTTAAGGGCTGTTGTTGAGGCTCAAAATATAAAGTGGTTAATGACTGTGGAAGCACTTTGGAAATTGTAAAACTGCCCAAAGGGGAGGAGTGGTTCCTACTTATCCTTAGTGCCAGGAGGGTCTGTTCTTTGCCTTTTACTTTTTGTCTTAACAGAGACTCCTTTCTTTCTCCCAGTTCCTGTCTCAGGAGTGTTTCCCTTCCCCTTGCCAGTCCTGTGATGGTTCCTCCCCAGGTGCCTCCGAAGGTCTCTTTTATAAGAAGGATGCTTCCCAAGGAAGGAGGCAGAGCATATAGCAGGGACCTGGGGTGTGCTGCCCATGCACAGGGGAAGTGGCACTCCAGAGCTTCCATCTGGCAGGGTCAGAGAGTCAGGGTGGGAGCAGGGAGGACAGCAGGGGAAGGACCCTCCCTAGATAGCCAGCGTGACTCCCGGGAGTAGAGTAGAAGAGCTTGAAGGCGGGTATGCGGTGGGCTTGCCCTTCCCATGGGCAATGGGAGTCCCCTCGCTAGCCATTAGGAACAGAAGTTCAAGTTTGCCTGTCTTTCCTCTCCCTGCTCCCATCACCCTGGGCTCTGGGCTCATGAACAGTAGTGCTGACCCCTGGTGGCAAGGCCAAACAATGGGTAGAGAGACTAGTTTTCTCCTAAGTTCCTGGAACTCACTAGCAGTGAGCTCCTCAGCTTACAGATGGGGGTGAATCTGTACCCCATTCAGAACGTCAGGCAGTCAGCAATTTTTTGAGCATCAGCCACCGTGGGTTTACCCAAGATGAATTAGACACAATCCTGCACTCAAAGAGCTTGCAATCTAGTCTCAGCAACAGAACAGACATTTCTATTGGAAGGGAAGGAGCCCTAGGCTGAGAGGCGATGCAGGTACCTTGTAGCCCAAGCGCAGTCCCAAGAAGCTGAGTAATCTTGAGCAAACCTCTGCATCACTCCATGCCTTGGTTTCCGCTTCTGAAAATCTGGATGACAATCTGTCTTGCTAGGATTATTTTTAAGATTAAATGATAGGATGGATGTCAAAGTACTGGGGCTCTCTAAAGTGCCATGCAAATTGAAGGGGGTATTTATCCTGGTCTGAACAACTAAGCTGGCTGTAGCTGAGGTTAACTGAGACAAGGGGAGTGCTGTGCTTTTCAACTCATTTACACTTTTTAAAAAAATTAAAATGGAACTCTTTATGAAAGCAGCTTGGCTTTCACAGCAACCTCTACTAAGTTAAATATTTAAATCAAATGCACAATTCACACATGGTTTTTAAATACACAAACAGATACAATTTTGTACTTTTCTCACTGGTCTTCAGCTGTTCTTAATCATGAGGATTAAAGTTAATACATGTGAAATGTTCTTTGTAAATTGGAAAACGTGATGGAAATGTGCTATTACTATCAAGTGTAGGCTCTGTTACATCTCCTAGACTCCTCTAATTTGAAATTAGGCATTCCAGTAGGGCTTAATTGTCTGGCAGCTCAGGTCATTTTGGCATCAAAGGTGAGCGCATCTTGTCATAGTGTTAGGATAGGATGGGTTCCTTGGACCCCAAGCTGCTACCAAGCTGCAGTTGATTGGGTCATAGTGGGGAGGGGGACTGACTGCTTCCCCACAGACAGAGAGGTCCTCAGAAGGAGAAGGATTTTGATGTGGTAGCATAAAGAATATAAGACCTTCAGTTCCCTCCTTGGCATTTGGAGTATAAAGACCAAAGAGTACAGGACCAGCAGGCTTTAGAGACAACACACAGCTTGCTGTGTCCATGTCTGTGCGCAGACTTGTCTCTGTTGGGAAAGGATTGGGGAGAAGTGGAAGGATACAGGTGAAATCTCAGGAGCTCCAAGGCTTCAGGAACTCCTCACTAATCTCTCCTGCTCAATTGTTCTCTCTGCTTGCAACTTCCCCACTTCTGAGAAATTCTTCACCCTCCATTTTTTTTTTTTTAATGAAATCTGCCTAATTCCAAATTAGAGGATTCTAGAGGGAAATGTAACGGAGTCTACATTTGATGGTAATAACACATTTCTGTCATGTTTTCCAATTTACAAACAACATTTCACACTCATTAACTTGTTTAATCTTCACGATTAAGAATAGCTGAAGGCCAGTGAGAAAATAATAGAATTGTATCTGTTCATTTAAAAATTGTGTGTGAGTTTTGCGTTCTTAGATACCTAGTACTACCACTGCCTCTCAAAACATACTTTCTGACCATAGCTTATCAATCCAGAGACAGGTCTACGGATGGTTAGCTGACCTAAGCCTGGACCATCTAATTCTACCCTTTAACTTTTGTAACTGGAGCTTGGGAAAGGGATTCAGTCACTCTCAGGTTATGTGAGGCACAGAGGCCATGTTATCACGTGAAGAGGGCCAGTCTTGTCTTGTGTAGGAGAGACTGAAGATGGCATGCAGAGAGAAGCTGATAAGTGAGATACAGCTAGATTCAGGTCCTGGCAGTGTTCAAGAGCTCGGATCCAGTGGTTCCTGAGGCCCGGCTGTATCCCTGTCTCTCGAGTTTGGTTGTTCAGCCCTACATTACACTTTTTTGGCCTAAAGTTACTTTGAATTGAATTGGTCAATTTCTAACAAAATTCTCTATCCTTGGTTTTTCATCCTCAAACCTTTTATAGGCAGCACTGTCAAAGAGCCCTGAGAGAGAAACCAAGGCAACTCACTTTTTGGTCATTTTCTTATTTGACATGTTTGCTACATTTGACTATTGATTACTTCCTCTCTCTTGAAACACATCTTATGTTGAAGACTCTTCATTTTCCTTAATCTCTTCTTCTGTCTCTGGTTCAGCCCTTCCCCATCTCCTTCAGGAAAACATCTTGCTCTGCCTATTCCACAACCACTGCTTTTCTCTAAAGTTCTATCCTAGGTTCACTCTACTCTCCCTAGATGACCTCACTCATTTTCAAGACATCAACCACAATTGATGTGCTGATGACTCCCAACCTTTGTTTTCAGGCCAGATCTCTCCTTCAGCTTCAGACCCATGTATACAGTTGTCTACTCAACACTGCTTCCTGAATGTGTCACAGGCACCTCAAATGCAACACATCCAACATTGAACTCCTCATTTTGTACTTTCATTTATTCCTCACCTTAATGAATAGCACCCACACATAAAAACCTGGGAATCCTCCAAGCTTCCTCTAATATCCAATCACCATGTTCCATTGTTCCATCAGTTCCACCTGCTCTCTCAGTTTTTCAGTTGTCTTCCTTTACTTAGTGTTAAAGGTAAGGGAGTTATCTGTAGTAAATTAGAATTAGAAATGGTCCCCAAAATGCCTCCTCTTACTGACAAAATTGTAACACTTTGTAATTAGCTATCTGAGTTATTATCATGATTGGTCTACCAAACATACCACATACAACTAATTCTAGAATCTTCTCAGCCTCTCAATTCCTACCATCCTTGGGCTGGATCAGGCCTCATCCTCTACCTGGGGTGGGCAGAAGGGTTCAAAGTCCTCTGATATGGAAGCATATCAGGCCACCATGAGGGGGAGGGAAAGTGTCAGAAGACAGGGCTCTAGACCCCACTCCTGCATCAACAGTCCTGATCAATTAGTTGATTCCTTGATTTATATACTGGGATCCAGGAAAATTTCATGGAATAAAGGGTTCCTACTGCCCAAGAAAAGAGAGAGAGAGAAAGAAGAAAGGAAGGAAGGGAGGGAGAAGAAAGAAAAATGAAAACCATTGAACTAAATATTGTAACAGCTTCCTAACTGGTCTCTCCACCTCCAGTCTCTACCTTTCCAATCTGCTTCCCAATGTTGCTTATAAATTTTTGTTTATGCAATAATGTTTTTAAACATTTTTAAAGGATATATACTACAGAATATGGCTCAGCACCATTGACATTTTGGACTGGATTCTTCTTTGCTGTGGAAGCTGTCCCATGCCTTGTAAGTTGTTTAGCAACATCTCTGCCTCTGTCTGTTAATTGCCAATAGCACTCTCCCAGTTGTGACAACTAAAAAAAAAACATCTGGAGACATTAGCAAATATCCCCTGGGGTGAAAAATCTCCACATGTGGAGGACCACTGCTAAAGAGTAAAAAGTGTGCATGTCCCCCTTCACCTCTTCCAATCCTACTCTCCTCCTCAGAGATGATTCTTAGTATCAGTTGACATCTGTCATTCCAGAACTTTTATATATGCAGTTGACCCTTGAACAACAGGGTTTGAACTGCACAGGTCCACTTATTCACAGATATTTTTCAATAGTAAATATTACAGTACTACATGATCCACAGTTGGTTGAACCATTGGAACAGTGTATATGGAGGAACCGTGTATACTGAAGAATCACAAATATGGAAGACCAACTATAAATTATACTTAGAGTTTCGACCGCATGAGGGTCGGTGC